GTATACCCATAACAGCCGTTACCTCTAATAAGTGTGTAATAGCAGAATCAGCCATTTCAGAGCTCAGAACAATGGCCTATTGAAATCCTGAAAATATGTCTGTAAAGTGAAACACATCCATTTGCCAAATTTCATTTTTATGTATTCCTTTAGGGTTACTGCCTGCTGGTAAAGGAGTTTGGTTATAGAGTGAACAAATAGGACTTTTTTTCTTTTTAACTATTTCCTTAGCTTGTTGCCAAGTGATGGAAAAATCTTTTTTAAACCTTTGCTATTCACATGGTGTTTCTTATGAAACACCGAGGCTTCCAGCACACTTCCTATTAATAAACGGTCAATGTCATCATTGCCTTGTGCTAAAAGATCTGTCAGATTCATATGGGATCTGATGTGTGTCTATATATAGGATGAGTCCTATTCCTGATTGTTTCTTGTAATTGTATAAACAATGAAGTTAATTCTGTATCATCAGGAATGAATTCAACGGTTTGAATGTGTAAGACAACTGACTCTCGGCATATTGAGAATTGGTAATTACACTGAGAGGTTCTGTAAAATCTGTAAGTACCATGAGGATGTTGTACAATTCTGCCTTTTGTACAGAATTGTAAGGACTTTGAACCACTTTACTTATATTTTCTGATTTATAATCTTGCCTGTTTGCATCAGTGTAGAATGTAGGGACTCTAGAGATTGGTGTTTCCTTACAATGCTTGGAGAGATCCAAATGGTTTTCTTTATGAATTTTATTCTCTCACTTTTGGGATAATTGTTGCTAATCGTTCCCAAAAAGTTACTGCAAGCTCTTTGCCAATATTCATTATCTTTCCACAAGGAGGAAGTTTCCTCATTAATTAAAGGTACTATAATTTCTGCTGGGTCCCTTCCTGTCAGTTGATGAAGTCTTAATTTTCCTTTTAAAATCAAATTAGAGACCTTTTCTATATATGTTTTTAATTTTGTGTTCTGTTTATGTGGTAGAAATATCCATTCTAATATAGTGTCTTCCCTCTGCATCAAAATCCCTGAAGGATATTCTCTAGATGGCAATATAACCAGAATACAGTCTAGTTTTGGATCCACACGGTCCACATGTGCTTCTACTAATCTCTTTTCTACCCATTCTAACTCCTTTTCAGCTTCAGCTGATAGTATTCATGGACTATTTAAGTCTTTGTTCCATTTTAGGCTCATTTTCAAGTTTTTTAAATCATGCACTTCTGCTCCAATAATAGTCTGTAACTGGGAAATCTCTCCTAGTAATTTTTGAAGATCATTAAGAGTCTGGTAACAATCTCTCCTGATCTGTACTTTTTGTGGTCTAATTTTCTGTAGACCTATTTTATATCCTAAGTAATTGATAGAATCTCCTCTTTGTATTTTTTTGGGTGCAATCTGTAATCCCCAGCGAGGTAAAATTTCCTTTACTTCCTCAAACATTTTTTCTAATGTTTCTGTCTTAGAACCAGTCAACAATATGTCATCCATATAATGGTAAATTATGGACTGTGGAAACTGTTTACGAATTGTTTCCAATGTTTTTTTCCACAAAATATTGGCACAAGGTGGGGCTATTTGGCATTCACTGTGCCAAGACCTTCCATTGATATCTCTTGACTGGCTGAGAATTGTTGTAAGTAGGCACAGTGAAGGCAAATTTTTCTTTACCTTTTTCTTGTAAAGGTATAGTGAAAAAGCAATCTTTTCAATAAGTAACTATAATAGGCCTCAGCTCTTTCTCCTGGTTCTCAAATCTTATCCCAAGCACTCAAAGCTGCTGTATGGCATAGGGACAAGATGTGTTCATCATACGCAGCTTGAATCTCTGCATCAGCATAAAGACCCTCACCAAGAATTTTATCCTGGGAAGCCCTATAACCTTTCTTTTGGCCTTGAAGTTCCCTCCATAAAGCACACCATTCCATTTGAGATGCAGGTTCAAGAACAGCTGAGATTAATCGGCCCCAATCATTAGGGGTCACCCTATTCCTTGTTACCCATGACTCTATTAATTGCCTCACATATGGTGAATGACTACAGCTTCCTTTATACCTTTTAAATCTTTCATACATATTGGCTTCCAATGACATTCAAAAAATCCTTTTGGGTGTTTTTTAGTTGCTGGTTTTTCAGTGACCATAACGGGGTAAACCACAGGGGATGGCGTAACGACCTTAGGTAGGCCATCCCTGACTCTAAAAGACACTGGTAATGTTAAATCATTTTCATTCTCTATGATTTGTACCGCTGCTTCTGGTGTATCAGCCTGAAGGTTTTCTATGGCCTGTAATCTATTCACCATTGTTTCTCTGAGTGTTTGAATCTCCTGGACTAGAAAAATTTCAAGGGACTTCATTAAATCAGTGTTTCTTGTTCTCTTCATTTATATATGATTCTAAAGATGTAATATTCTCATCCTTAGAGTTATCTGAATGCCATGTAAATTGCCTTCCAAAAGCAATGTTCTGTCTGCTAGCTTGCCATTAGTCTCAGACATGGAGCAAATATTTTTGTTCCAATCTTATGTCCCATTTTTTGCATTCTGTTTGCTGAGTCATCAGACATGAAACAAATTTTTTCCTGCTAGCTGGTCAGTTCTATGTTTCATATTTTGCATTCTGCTTGTTGAATCACCACTTTCAATGTTGTGAATCCTTTTTCTCCTAAGCTCTCATTATCAGTCTGCAAAGCGTGTATGGTTCCTGCAAGTTCCTCATTCTTAGCTCTACTGTCCAACCGTTTCTCTAAGGACATTGTACGGATTACAGAGAAAGGATGGCTCAGCAACAAGCAGTGCTTACTGTACAGGTATGAGGACTGAAGGGCATCAACACGTGCACCCCCTTGGGCACAGTCCCACACACGCCTGCAACCACCGCATGAAATGCAGTGCAGACTATGAGAAAAGAGACACCAGGAACAGGAAATGATGGGGCACAAGATGGCCAGGGATAGCTGCCTCCCAGCCCAGCCAGGGAGACATGCGCTGCACATCCAAAGCAATTTTCTCACTCACATACTTGACTTCAGACACACACCCAACACACTCTCACACTCACGCAAACACACCCAAAAAAATAATCACAATGATGATAAAAATATGCAATAAACATTTCAAGTCTAGCATCCAGTGGCCGAAAATATTACACTTTTGTTATTGTTTAAACCGCTATGTGTCTAGGGGCCTCCTACTTTATCTAGCAACTTTCCCACTCCTAAAACATCCGCTCTCTCCGTGTGTCTAAGACTGTGTAGGCACTTTGTAAACCTGCAAAGGAGACTCGCTGAGCGCTAAGCAACAGATCACACTATAGCACACAAGAGAATTACACAGTCGGACTCCTGTGGGCTACTTGCGCTTCACGTTAGTGATTCAAATGGCTCCCGCGCAGGGCTCACATTAATAAACAAGGAAGATGAGCCAGAGCGTTGCTCTGCTGTGACAGAGAGAGAAACTGACAGAGTTACCCTGGCACTGGCCCACCATGAAAGGGGCATTACCTCTGGTTCCCGTTTATCGTTCCTGATGACTGCTGCCGTGCCCAGCATCCTCCATCAGATGCGCTGGCGCGCTTGGCCACGCCGTCTTCCACTTTATTAAATGATCTGTGCTGCAGCCGTTTATTTTCCTCTCTCTTGCACCCGTGAAGAGTGAAACTGTCATTTCCCCTCAATCTTCTCAATAAGGTAAGGGTTGGAGGAAGGGTGCCAGAACGCTAAAATGACAGCCTAACGTATTTCTTTCCACTCTGCCCTCCTCCTTATTTCCACCAGGGAATCAATTCCCGACTGCATTTCCTCCAGTGTTCGGGAGGCTGAACGTGATTGCTGCTTAAACTACAGACTCACACACCAAAGATGGCATCTCAAACATAGTTATTTCCCAAGCAAGTATGTTCCCAAATAAAAATGCTACCAACTGGAGGCCTTAGGAAAGTTAGCAGGAAAGACGCTGTAGTCGGAAACAGAAATAACACTTTCAGGTCTGAAAATAACAAAAAGGTACAAGGGCTTCTTCCTGTCACTTTTCACCTTGTGTGCCCACAGACCCCCAGCCTCCCCACACACACACATACACATACATATACACATACATACACACACATATACATACACACACATACATACACATACATACACACACATACACATACACACATATACATACACACACATACATACACACAAACATACACACACATACATACATACATACACATACACATACATACACACATATACACATACATACACACACATATACACAAACACATACATACAAACATACACACATATACACACAAACACATGTACACACACAAACATACATACACATATACACACACACACAAACACACACATACACACCCAATTTGTGCACACAGCACAACTTTAACCAATTGCTCTTAAGGACAATTATAAATTTAAAAGAAAAATCAATCTTTGTTTTACAAAGAGTGTTCTAGGAACCTGTAAGCCAAAACAATCTTCCTCCTCTTGCTCATTTAAAGATGAAAACCGTACTTCTAGACTGTGGCAGACGTCATCTGTATTTCATTTTCTACGTGTATCCTGTTCAAGTTAACATAACAAAATGAAGCTGTTACAAGGTTACAAGCCTGGTTCCCATTGTATTAAGGTTTTGGAAGAAAGGCGTCTGGAGTGAGCGCTCAGCACTGCAGAGCACTGGCTGCTCCTGCAGACAACCCAGGTTCAGCTCCCAGCACACACGTGCAGCTCACAGGCCTGTACAACTCCCCCTGGAGGGCTACAGTTACAGACGCCCCCTTCCGGCCTCCTCGAGCACTGGTGCACATACAGTCAACACATACAGTAACCACAAATGCACAGTTTTATTTAATGGAGGACAAAACATCCACAAAGCTGTTGTAACCAACTATTTAACGTGGAAAGTAACGCATGAGTGTCAACAGGGAATAAGGCCACCTGTGTAGAAATGTTCCTCTAAAAATCACTTTCGGAGGCTTTTTGAACAAATATTAAAATGGATCAAACTTTAATTTATCTTAGGCCATACTACATAGGAAACTATATTAAACATTGCCCATGAATCAAAATCACGTCTCGTAGACTGTCTCATACGCATGAAGCTAAAGCAGAGTTCATAAAGAGTCCCCAAGAAGACTGATTGCCTTGGAAAGAACTCGCGCCGTTTCTCCAGGAAGACTGCCCACGCCCTCATCTTCCGTGTTTCACGTCACCAATGGCTCCCCACACGTCAAACACGAACTCGTCAGGAAAGGCAAAGTCTCCCAGAGTCGCATCAAGCGCCACAGCAAATTCATCCGGGTTGCTTTTGTCTTTTCCAGCTTCAAACATGGTTGTAGCTGTCAATGAAAATGTGTAAAGGTTATTGAGCAGCGAGCCGGCACCGGAGGACGGACTTCTCTGTGTCGGGCGCGAAGCTGCCACCACTGCCCTGTTCCCAGCCTAAGAGCCCATCACTTGGGAGTCTCTAGCATTCTTTGGGGGTTGTTTTGTTTTGTTGGTGTGGGGTATGTGCACATGCATAGAGAGACCAGGATGCAACCCTGGATTTCAACCCCTGAGATGCCACCCATCCATTTTTGAGACTGCCCTGGGGCTCACTAGGTGGGCTATGCTGGCACCAGTAATCCCTGTCCACACTTCTCCAACACTAAATTCTAAAGCCCACACCACCACATCTAGTATTTTTTACATGGGCTCTGTAGATCAAACGTGTGCATCCAAGAGAAGTATCTTACTGAGTCCCCTCTGCAACCCTCCAGCATTCTGAGAGTGGAAGACGACCTACTTTAAGAAAACCTCACAGCAGTCGGGCGGTGGTGGCACATGCCTTTAATCCCAGCACTCTGGAGGCAGAGGCAGACAGATCTCTGTGAGTTTCAGGCCAGCCTGGTCTACAGAGCGAGTGCCAGGACAGGCTCCTAAGCTACACAGAGAAACCCTGGCTTGAAGAAGAAATAAAAAAGTAAAGACAAGAAAACCTCATGACTCATCTCACCAGGAATCAGCACACACAGCCGCTCACCTCCCCACACTCTAACACCTTCCAACCATGCCCTACTCCCAGAGAGCTGGAGTATAGTCCTCCCCCACCAAAAGAAGAGTTTACAGCTTGCCACAGGGCAGTTGAGGTCTCTAGCCTCTTTCTTAAACACCTTCTGGTTTAGGACAGAATGTTAACGCGGTCTGCCTTCCTCAGAAGTTACTTAAACCCTGTGCTCTGTGTCGGGGAGACAGCATCCCCATGAGCACACATTCCTAAGGACTTTCCCCAGGATATAGAAACCCATGAAGTTTTACCCCTTATTATAAGCACTAATGACCACAAAGGATTTTTTTAATGCCACATATTACAGCTGAGTGCTGACCTCTTGTGGCCACGCTGAGAATGTTTTTATGCTCCTACAACCTCAAAATTTTGATCAACAAAGTCTCCATTAAGTTCGTAAATATTTAAAGAACTTTTAGGTATAAAAATTGACCTATTACTTAAAATATTTATTATGTGTGGATGTGCATATTTATATGTATGCATACATGTGTGTATATGTGTACTATGTGTATGCATATGTATATATAGGAGGTGTGTGTGTGTGTGTGTGTGTGTGTGTGTGTGTGTGTGTGTGTGTATGGATGTCTTGCCAGCCTGTATGTCTGTCTGTACACCATATATATGCAGTGCCTGTGGAGGCCAGAGGAGGGTGGTACATGTGCTGTGCCTGGATGTTACAGATGACTGTGGGCCAGGTCCTGTGAAAGAGCAGCCAGTACTCTTAAGCACTGAGCAGCTCCCCCAACCTCTGCAATGCACTTTTTAATAAAACTCTACTACCGATTCCAGTGCTCTCGACTCAGAAGGGGCTCTCCACAGTGTGTGTGGCTTCCCCGACCAGTGCAATGTCCCTCACTATGGAAACGCCATTAATATATACCTTTCTAACCAGCTATCAGAGGTATATGGGGAAAGGGGCTTAGAAACTACCATTTTAATTGCCTTCCCACACACTCCAGCCTTTCTTAATAGAATAACTTTTTAAATTCTTAAGCTGTCAGAATTAGTTCCAGAATCCTAAACTGGAATCGGGAAACACTGTAGGCCCACAGGTAGCTACACGGTTGCCTTAAAGCTTCCAGGTAGAATGTACAGCAATGTGTCCTTGAGTTAGATCACTCCCCTGGACTCAACATCTTCTGAAAATTTTCTTCTTTGCAGAAGAAAGGTAGTTAGCGTGACTGGTTGAAAACCACACTTCACAGCTTAATTTCACAACAATTGAAATACGTTCATCCTCAGAGTTATTTCCTACAATGACTTGTTTGAAGCTAGGCAGTGGTGGCCCACATTTTTAATCCCAGTACTCAGGAGGCAGATCTCTGAGTTTGAGGCCAACCTGGTCTACAGAGCAAGTACCAGGAAAGCCAGGGCCACACAGAGAAACTGTCTCAAAAAAAACAAAAAAAAAAAAGCAATGAAGAAGGAAGGGAGGGAGGGAGGGAGGGAGGGAGGGAGGGAGGGAGGGAGGGAGGGAGGGAGGACATTCATGAAATACTGGGAATGAAGAGAAGCAAAGCCATTCATTTGTCTGTTAGGCCAGGTTAACATTTCTGAATTATATTTCATGCTAATCATATCTGAACAACAGAAATTCCTAATTTAACAACAGCTGGCATTCTTCAAATAATTACTTTCCTTACACTTTGCCTCCCTAAGTGACTGATCACACTACTAATCATGTGTGATGGCAATGGCTTTGTGTCAATCAAAGGAATTTGCTACAGACATTTAATTAAACTGACAAGGGACCACTGCGTGATTTCAATGAATATTTTAGAATATTTAATGGTCTTCATTTCTGAGCACAAGAGAAAAGTCATTCTTCTATTTTAAGGTTCTTTTCTAAATTACATTTATTTCTCAGCGTGTGTGTGTGTGTGTGTGTGTGTGTGTGTGTGTGTGTTTGGGGAGGGGACATGTGGTATATGGTGATATTTCTTTATGATCTAACAAAGCTTGCCTGCAGATCAGAGTGCAAAGCTAGCCACACTCCTCAGCCACAGTGGGCACGCAGTGGTGGTGCACACCTTTAATCCCAGCACTCAGGAGACAGGCAGACAGATCTCTGTTAATTCAAGTTTACCCTGAGCTACACAAATTGATCCAGAAACAGAGGTCACACAAAGGTGATCTCAGCACTTGGGATCCACACCTCTAATTCTAGCACCAGAGAGGAATATACATCAGGAGGAGACAGGAACTCAGTGCAGTCTGAGGTTTGGTGGAGACAGATGCAGACTGAGAACAGGATCGTCCTTCCAGTCCGAGCATTGGTAGAGATGAGAACTCTCTAGCGGCTGGCTACTTTGCTTCTCTGATCTTCGGCTTTAACCCCAATATCTGTCTCTGGGTTTTTATTATTATATTACAATTCATGCTGCACTGTTACACCACAGCACTCTCTGTCCGCCATGTGGATCCCAGGAACCAAACTTGGGATACCAGGCTTAGTGGGCAATGGGCAATGAACCCTGAAAATTCATCTTTAAAGACTTGTGATTTAAATGCACTTGTAATCATTTGCTGTTATCCATTACTCTGCTGTACTGTATTTGTGTTTTCTAAGATTTAAGGGCTTCACCCTGTCTGTCATTCTCCGTTGCCTCTCAGCTAAAGACTGATGAATTATGTCATTTTCCAACAAATACCACCTATTCTATATTTTTATGGTCATTGCCCTCTAAACCTTCTTACGCTCTTGTCCATGAACCTGAGTTACTCTCATAAGCCTGAGTAATTTATCCAAATCCCAGAATTCCCCCCAAATGTAGGTTCTGGAGATGTGGAGATGAGGTGACCTTGGATGTATGTGCACAGGGTCATCTTAGCTCTCCTTTATTCTCTGATCCTGCCAATCTAGGAGTCTACTGTGCTGGGATGTTCATTTCCTTCCCTAGATTTGGGGAAACAAGTGAGCGCTCAAATCCTTTGTCTGGAGCTTTACCCATTTTAGTTAGTGTCTTTGAATTCAATGGCTGCAGACTTTGACTAGCTGAAGAGCTGTGTTGCCTTGCATTTTGTGCTTCTTATTCCTCTGTGTTGAAAGGTGTGTATCTGGTTGTACATCTCATGAAGCTTTATCTGGGATCTTAGTGAGCAGCCCGTGCCTAAGGTCCAGTCCCCAGTCCTCAGAGAGGAGAAAACAAATTCTCCAACAGTAACAACAGCAACCAAACAAGGTGCACTAGTGCACTTAGATTAAAACCTGTTATTATATCATCAATTACCATAAAACAGAAAAGGACAAAGCAAATTATGAGGTGAGATTAAAATTGTTTAAGGTTAATGTAGAGACAAAAAAAAAATAAAATGAGAAAATAATTGGGAGGAGAGGAGGGGGCGTCCAGAAGAGGTCCAGGGTTAAGAGAACAAAGAATGAGAAAAGAATGAGAATGTTGTGAGGGGAAAGTTGAAGAAAAACTTTTATAAAAGAAAACAAAAGTCACTGAACACACTAGACCTGCCTACCCACACGGGGCCACCTGGAATTGCCACCTGCCTAGTCTCTGACCCCCACCGCTGGTCCTCTACCAGAGTTCCAAGCCCCTCCCAGAGATCCACCTATCCACTCAGGGCCATCCAGAGCCCCTGTGGGCTGGATCCTTGACCGGCATCACCAGGCTTCTGCTAAAGAGGCCTCAGCTGGAGAGTGCCAGGCCCAGGCTAGATCCGCCTATCGGCGCACTGAACATCCTGAGTCTCAGCCTTTGGGATCTTGGACCCCTATTGCCGGTCCTCTACTGAAACCTGATCTTTGACCCCCATTGGACCCTTGCCTGTGGAGAGACCTCCTAGAGAACTTGGACCACCCAGAGCTACAGACATTGAAGCTCTGACCCACCTAAGCCCACCGGGGAGTACCATAGAGAAAGAGACTCCACCTGTACCTACTGGAAGAAGCCATGGGAAGATGGCAATACAAGAAAACACCTAACAATAGAAAGACAAGCATGACACCACCAGAATCTAGGGACTCTACACCAGCTAGACCTGAACACCCCAAAGCAGATGAAGCAGAAGAGAACGATTTAAAAATTATCGTCACAAAAATGATAGAGGCCCTCAAAGACGATGTGAGAAAATCCCTTAAGGAAATGGAAGAAAAAACAAATGAAAAATTGGAAGAAATGAACAAATTTCTTAAAGAAAGTACAGAAAGCCAAGAAAAAACAATCAGGTGAAGGAAACAGTTCAAGATTTGAAAACTGAAATAGAGACAATAAAGGAAACAAAAACTGAAGGAATGCTGGAAATAGAAAAACTGGGCAAACGATTGGGAATTAC